CTGGAATTTTCCGAGTCGACTTTTTGTTTCGCCGCACGTAATTGAACATTTTCTTCTTCTAATTCGTTCAATATTCCATCTTTATTAGCTAGGGCCGCTCGAAGTCGGCCTACTTCCTAAAAAAGCAACAATTGGAGGAGCTATAAGAATTTGCTGCACAGGTCACACTAACCGCTTTGAGTTGATTATTTTCATCATCCAATTCTATCAATTTTTCCTTGACTATATCTGGCAGTTCCATTGCACATTCGATAGTAAGTACTAAATAAAAACAATATTTTCATTGGAAATCCACAAGAACGTCCTAGAGCGTTTACGTCTTAGAGGAAACCGGGCTAATACAAAACTACCTACAAGATTACTTGACTGATTCAAAAAAAACATAATTAAACATAATTTTACGAAGAATAACATAGAGGAAAACATTCCAGTACTTATTTCTCTTCAATAGTAAGTCTAAGATACAGTATAGCACACGTCTTGAAATGGCAACTGAACAAGATATGTCGGTGAAGGTGCATATCATGAGAGAAATAATGTTAGAAAACGTTATTTGCATGATTGTCGCTTCTTATCATACAGATTATGTTATCTAATGTGAAAAAAATGTTTAAAATTAACAAAAAAGACGACCGGCGCGTTTAAAATTCCCGCCACCATTCAGACGCGAATTTGCAGAATGCAATATGACGATTGCTGCGTCCTTTTTTGCTTTCTTAATTTGGAGCTTCTTGGTTTCGGATGTATTTCAGCGCCTGTGACTGGCAAAAACTTGAAACGCTCTTAGAAAAGTACTCTTCTTACCCATTCTCTGCGGCGCCTTTTCTCAAGCGAAATCGGAAGGTTTTCTCTCTGTTCAAAAGAGGAGTGGGATAAAGTATGGGCGAGATGGAAGTGCCCAAATCTCGCTACTTTTTACATTTGTCGCCTTTTGCGCTCAAGCCACAAGCAATGAGCGTTCTACTCTTCGTCTGGGTTCCTCCACGCTTGGAAAAAGGGATTTGGCTTGAAGTGGGCAAGGTAGTGAAGAACCCGTGGTA